ATAATAATATTAATAATAAAAGTAAATTAATTATAATAACATTAATAAAAGTAAATTAATTAATAATAATAATAAAAATAAAAAACAGACGAACACACAAACATGAAACAAATAATATTTACTCATAAGTGAGACCTTTGCTCATCTGTCAATACTTTTGGTATATCCTCACTTGAACTGCTGCTACTGCTACTAGACCTGTTAATGCTGCTACTTGTGCTCCTACTAACTAACCTACCACTACCTCTACTACCTGATCTACCTTTCCTCTTACTAACCGATCTACCTCTTCTCCTTTTAACCGATTTATCTTCCACCTCACTTTCATCTTCGCTACTAGTAGCTCCTGAGCTACTAGAGCTTGAGGGCAATGTTGATCTTGCTCTTCCTTTCCCCTTACTAAATACTGTCGCAACTGCTTGAGCTACTATTTGCGCAATGAAACTCGCTTCCACTAAATAATAGATTATTGTTGTATTAATGATATATTAAAGTTACCACCTTTTATAAACCTTACATTTTTCTTTTCTTATGTTTATGTGACTTCTTAGACTTTTTAGCACCCATTTTACTGCTTCTGGTTTCGGCAAACACTTTTCTTTACCCATGTTTTGATAAAATTTTTTGATAAAAAAATTAAATGAATTCTAATGATATTGATCGTCTTATATATAAATCTTACTCTCATCATCCTAATATCCATTAATTAAATTAAAAAATTACTTTATTAAATAAATGATTACATTAAATTAATTACCTTTTGCATAGAAGATATTTCTTCGAATGTTGTACTCATTCATTATTAAGCAATAAAAAAATTACATTAATATCACTATAATATCATTAATTAATAACTGATTACATTAAACATAATATACCTTTAACAATTACTGAATTTGGTAGTTATACATTTTGGCAATTTTTTAAATTAATCACTGATTACATTAAAAAATAATACCTTTCATTTAGAAGATTGGATGACGATTTTAACAATTACCCAATTTGGTAACAATACGCTTTCAACGATTTTTCATTATTAAATATGTAGAATAAAAATTAAACCATATAAAAATTAATATCATAAATTAATCCCTGATTACATTAAAAATAATATACATTTCACTTGAAAATATCTTGGAAGATATGCTTTCAAAATTATTGATCAACTAGTAATGAACAATATCAAATTATATTAATTATAAAATTATATAAATATCGCCATTATATCATAAATTAAATGATTAATTACATTAAAAAATAGTTAATCTTCACTTGATGGATTTATATATAATTCCAATGATTCAAATAAAAATAATTCGTTCTAATATCATTAATTAAAAATTACTTTATTAGAAAATTTGATTATATCAAAATACGCTTAGAAGATATTCAACGAACTGTTATATGATAATTAGATATTCGGCATTGTTTACTTCTATATAAAAAAGAAAACAATATCGAATACCTGATAATACCTTTCGCTTAGAAGATTGGATGACGATCTTAACAATTACCCAATTTGGTAACAATATGCTTTTGACAATTTTTTATTATTAAATATGTAGAATAAAAATTAAACCATATAAAAATTAATATCATAAATTAATCCCCAATTATATTAAAAATGATATACCTTTCACTTGAAAATATCTTAGAAGATATGCTTTCGAAATTATTAATCAAATAGTAATGAACAATATCAAATTATATTAATTATAAAAATATATAAATATCACCATTATATCATAAATTAAATGATTGATTACATTAAAAAATAGTTAATCTTCACTTAGTGGATATACATATAATCCCAATGATTCAAATAAAAATAATTCGTTCTAATATCATTAATTAAAAATTACTTTATTAGAAATTTAATTATATCAAAAAAAAAAATTTCTGCTGATCATCTGTACACAAAATTTCGGCACAACAATTTTCATGTTTTCTCAATTTACGGAAACTTTTATTAAGTTAACAACCTCTTGACTCTTAATAAAATTTGTTCAGCTACTGTTTTTACATATATTTGTAAAGCTTCAAGTCTGTATCTCTTATCATTCTTGAGATATTTGATTTAAAAGAACAGATAGACAAAACTCTGTTCTCTCCCCAAAGTTTTGCCCCTTCTGGCAAACTGGGCTTAATAATATACTGATACCTCATAAATGAATTTGTAGAGCTTATCTCTGGCTTCAAAACAAGCTATAGTATATCAAATTTGACCTAAAATAGATCATTTTAGAATCGAAAATATCAAAACTCTTTTTTTTACTCTTTAGATTTTTAAAAAGTTCCCTTCTAGTTTACCCCTTCAAAATCGTTTTTTGTGTAACCTTCGGACCTGTATTTCTGATTTGTTTACACCTGACCATACTAGAAACACAATTAATCCTTTTTTGGGCAATCCATTTTACAATTAATTTACACAAATTAATTACTGCACTGCATTTATTGTTTATTCTATAATTAACTTAGCAACGTTAGCTAAATTTTACCCATTGTGCAACTTGTGTAACACATGATCTGTGTAATACGTGACTTGTGTAATACGTGACTTGTACAACCTTAGACTTCCTAGGTTATACAAGGTTACATGAGCCGCAGTAGCTATAAAAATACCATCGTAAATATACATACCCTTGTAACAACTATCTAAGCTTAATATCTTTAAATTTTAGTAAGGAAATCTCAACTAAGTCTTTAAGAAAACTTATAGATACAATGCCTACCTTACTACCGTAGAATCTGATACCATAGATCTTGACTATTTTTATAAAATATACCACAACAGTTTCGGTATCAGAATCTATGAAGATTTTTCAAATATCCCAAGACCTATTCTGGCAAACAAAAAACCAACTGAATATATTTCTACAGAACTTAGAAAAATAACCAAGACCTGCTATTATTTTGAGGCCCCAACAATCACATCTATTGTTAAATGTTTATGCAACAAATACCATATTTACTTTATTTCAAAGGAGAATAAAACCTACAAAAAACCTACTAACATTCAAATTGTTAGCAAAAAAGGAAAAGAAGAA